TGGGAGTAAGGGAACTGCTCATCCTACTCCACAGCTAGCCTTATATATATATATATATCAAATCCCAAGAAATTCACATCTCTGCTAAGTCATCAACTCTTTAAACTAGTTTCAGATCTATTGATGTGAAATCAATAAAACCAAGAGGAACATCAACAATACACACACACACACACTTTGGCCAGGTGTTCATGAGCTGGTTTTGGCTTTCTTCACCTCTGGTTCATCTGAAGAAGATTCCAGCTCAAGATCTGGCGGACTGGAGTCTGGAAATAAAGTCATGCTTGAGTGAACTGTAGACAGCCATAACAATCAATTTCATACTGAAAAATAATAACAATAATAATTTGAGGGACCCTTTTCATTTTCTTGAGTTGAGTTGAGTCAAGAATTGACATCACATCACTCGGGGCATTTCCATGTGTGCTTCATCCTCATCTTCAGCAGCCAGCGCAGAGTTCCAATACTGATGGTACCAGTCACAATCTGGTTATATGTCTGTCTTGCCTTCACTCTTGAGTGTAGTGAGCCAGCCAAACATTCTGTTACACCCAGGTGCCTCATTCTCTCCAGGCCATACAAATCTTGTTTCTCTACTGATTCCGTTGCTTGTTCCCAAAGGGCCTTGACCACATCTGCCACTTAGTTTTAACATAAAACAGTACTGCTGTTCCCCATTTCGGGGTTCCATTATGGGGGAAAGAAGAACAGACCCACTGCCTTCACAACAATCATGTCAGAGTTATCTTTAAAGTCGGAGTACATCTGCCTGAGAGGCAAGGAACCAAAAGTCTACACAGGGCCCCATTTTAGGGAAGAAAAAGAATAGACTGACTGCCTGCTAACAAGCATGTCACAAAAGCCAACTAGTTAGCGGTGTTTTCTTCAAAGCCGGAGTGCATAGACCTGAGAGGCGAGGAAGTAACAATCTGCATACAAATAAGACAGGTCTGTAAAACAGATGTGCACACAAAACAAAGTTCTGAAACAAGATAAAGTCCAGAAGATAAACAACCAGAACTTCCCACTGCAGTTTACAGCAGGTGAACATGAAGATAAACAACCAGAACTTCCCACTGCAGTTTACAGCAAGTGGAACATGAAGATAAACAACCAGAACTTCCCACTGCAGTTTACAGCAGGTAAACATGAAGATAAACAACCAGAACTTCCCACTGCAGTTTACAGCAAGTGGAACATGAAGATAAACAACCAGAACTTCCCACTGCAGTTTACAGCAGGTGAACATCAAGATAAACAACCAGAACTTTCCACTGCAGTTTACAGCAGGTAAACATGAAGCAGAAGCACTGCTGGATGGAGCTGAAACAGGCAGAACAATTAAAACAGTTACTAATAAACTACAAACATTCATTAACTGGTGCCTGCACAAAATGGAGGGAATTAAATGGCATAATAGAACCATTAAGGTTGAGCTCTGGGAGAGCTGGACAAGTTCTAGTGAATCTAAAGGTTAGAAGAAAATGCTGGTGATGGATCGAACACCAGATGAGAAAGGACAACATAACTGGAATGTCTTTGCACTAGAGAACATTTAATTCCAAGGCCTCACTGGGAGGGTAAGGGAGGAGGGAAGTGGGAGAAGAACAGACACATTGTACTTTAATAAGCATGATGTAAAAGAAGACTAGAAAAGAATTAACCGACAGCAGATATATTGGGCAGAAAATGTTTAATCAGAACTAAATGGATGATGTGGTTCTTCTCCTAGTCCTCCGCTGTGAACTGGTGGAAAGCCCTTGTCTGTGTCTGGACTTTTCCCTGTTGGTCGTCTGTGTCTGGACTTTTCCCTGTTGGTTGTCTGTGTCTGGACTTTTCCCTGTTGGTCGTCTGTGTCTGGACTTTTCCCTGTTGGTGGTCTGTGTCTGGACTTTTCCCTGTTGGTGGTCTGTGTCTGGACTTTTCCCTGTTGGTCGTTTGTGTCTGGACTTTTCCCTGTTTTACAGGTTTACTGGCCACTGCCCATATTATCAAAAACCTGTCAAACCTGGTCAGATAAATGGTTTTTCTCCAAGCCATAAGTTTAATACTGTAATATGGTTCCTAAAAAAATATATACACCATAAATGAACGAATGCTGACAGAAGACACAAGACTAGATGAAATAACATGTGAAAGAATGTGTGAACGAGGAACTAGGAGTGGATCTGGCAAGGACAGGCGTACAAGAGGTAGACAGCGGCGTGTGTAAAACCAGTGTGCTACAAGAACATCTAGCATCTGCCCTTTAAAACATATGCTGCCGGGGATAAAGCATCTATGGGTAAGCCCAGTGTGCTATAGTGTCGATTCTTTAACCAGTAAAACCGTTTAAAAAAATAAATAAAATAAAGGCAAAAACTGAGTGAAAATAAAAGCAACAATAAATACAGCACACTGCAGTCATACCATTTGTCTCTTCTCCTTTACTGCTACTGCTGTTGTGTTTAGCTTTTGCTGTTGCTTCCCCTTCTTCATGCACCATACTTAGTGCTAGGGAAATATATATTTATACAAAATATTTAGTAGTCAGTTAGGCAATGATGTTCTGTTTAACTAATCGTGGTTATAACTGGGGTTGAGTTGAGTCAAGAATTGGCATCACAGCACTCGGGGCATTCACATGTGTGCTCCGTCCTCATCTTCAGCAGCCAGTGTTGATTCCAATACTGATAGTACTGGTCACAATCTGGTTATATGTCCATCTTGCCTTTCCTCTGAGTGTAGTGAGCCAGCCAGACCCTCTGGTTACACCCAGGTGCCTCATTCTCTCCAGGCCACGATGAATCTGGGAGTAACTGGGGTTATACAGTTGTTATTCTACTTTTGTTTTAGATATTAATGCTTGTCAATTACTTTATTATTTAAAATTGCATAGATTATTTAATAATGTACAAGACTGTAGGAGTACAGATTCTTATGTTTAACATAGATTATTTAATACTGTACCAGACTGTAGGAGTACAGGTTCTTATGTTTAACATAGATTACTTAATACTGTACCAGACTGTAGGAGTACAGATTCTTATGTTTAACATAGATTACTTAATACTGTACCAGACTGTAGGAGTACAGATTCTTATGTTTAACATAGATTACTTAATACTGTACCAGACTGTAGGAGTACAGATTCTTATGTTTAACATATTTAAAGCGTAATTTTTAAATAATTGTGAGAATAATATTGTGTAATCCATCTATGGAAATATTCAAAGTGATCTATGATATTTTTTGTCTGTCTTATGATGTGTTAACACTTTTTAAGCAAATCTTTTTGCAATATACTTAACAATAAACAACATCAATTAAATACATTACTAACTTTAACAGTTAATAAACAAACAAACAAATTAACATGTGGGCCTAGCTGGTCATGTGTCTTAGTACACTTGTCCTGCAGTGAGGCGCAGTTGTCATCTGGCAGTTACAAATGAAGCTGGGTTGGCTTGGGAGCCAAGGTCATTTTTGAGATAAAAAAGCCAGCTCTATCAGGACCTGACCCCAAAACCTATCCGCAGGTAGCTCAGACCAATAGATGTCTGTCCATTCTGTGTGTGTGTATATTATATAACAACTATTCTGTGACTGCAGTAAAGATACAATTCAAATTTTCTCTTGACACAGTGTTGACATGGGTCAAAGAAGTTAATCCAACCCAGTCATAGATAGATGTCTGTAACACCAAACATGTGGAAATAATTCAGCTTTCCTTGTGGAAAATTTGGCACAAACTGCAGTTTCAGCATATCCACTAGCATACACATGCATTAAAGGCATAAGGCAGTCGTCAGAAGTGCTAACGCAACAAACAGTTTGACACTAGAAATGCAGTTCATTATCAATAGAAGCAGCACTTACTGGAGATCAGTAGTTGCACATGCAATTAATCACATAAGGCACTGCCAATTATTCTGTGGGACTAGGTCACTCGCCATTATCTAAATCTACAAACGTCTGTCACAGTAAAAACACATTATCAATTATGTCCACAGCTTACAGTGCCACACCATGCACTTAAGTCAGTAGCTGCGTGACAAAACTATATTCTTTCAGTCTACATATGGAGGAAACTGCAACAGCAACAATTGTCAGAACTAAAAAGAATAAACTTTCACAGCAACTACTGTTAGAAGCAAAAACTTGCCACAACTAAAAAGAGTAAACTTTCCTATCGCCCATACTAACCTGAAGATAAATTTGTGTTAACATAATCCCATCACCCATACAGAAATGTCTTCTTCTTGTGCGTTTGCCCCTTAATAGGAAAGTTGGCTTTTGCGGTTTACAACAGGGCTGCTACATCTGCCCATTTTAGCTCAAAACATCAGATTTCAACAGGCTTTTTATTAGTCCCCTTTACTTCCCATGTGGGTTCAGTGGCTCCATTAAAGGGAAAACAAGAACATACCCATTGCCTCGTCAACAATCATGTCGTAAGAGTTGCCTAATTAGGGGTTTCCTTATAGGTGGGAGTGGATCTGCTTGACAGGCAAGGAACCAACAGTTTCTCTACAAATTTAGTCAGATTTGTAAAAAAAAAAAAGTGCATGCAGCACTCAGGTTCTAGATCAAGTCTAAAGTCCAGAGGTGGATGAACAACCTGAGCTTTCCGTCAGAGTTTAAAGCCACTGAACACAAAGAAGAAGAGGATTATTCCTCTTTTATGACACGCTTGTTACAGGGACACACAGTAACAGAAGCAGTGGGTCTTTTCATTTTCTCCCTAAAACAGACCCCTGATCCTACAAAGGAACATAACAGTTACTGGAGCAGTGGGTCAGTTCATTTTCTCCCCAAAACAGGGCACACAATCCTACACAGGGACATAACAGTTACTGGAGCAGTGGGTCAGTTCATTTTCTCCCCAAAACAGGGCACACAATCCTACACAGGGACATAACAATTACTAGAGCAGTGGGTCAGTTCATTTTCTCCCCAAAACAGGGCTCACCATCCTACACAGGGACACACGGTTACACAAAAAGGTAAGACAGACTCACCAACTCTCATCTGAGGGTCAGCATCATTACTATCGGGGGAGAACTCAGTCGTGTTCTCGTTATGTTCACTGTGCTCGCTGTTCTCGGCAAATGAAAGGTTGGAATCCTCGTTGAGATTCTCGGAACCAAATGACTGCTGGGTATTTTCTTCTGTGTACATGACTGTACCTGTGGAGCAATTTCATGTCATTTTTAAACATTGACATCTCTCAAGGACAGGATCAGCATCAATGCCAGGATTTTAAACTGTTATAAAATAGAGTATATTTGTTCAGTGCAGACAGCTTAAGGCGATCTTAAATGCTGCAAATTTCTGTTGGAAGAACAATTTGTTAAATCTCTGGCATTTTTTGGGGGCCGGAATTCTTATCTAGATATGAAGAAAAACTATTTTATGGTCCCAGGAGAGTTCTCCTTATCAGATATGCACCGTATGAGTGTGTGTATAGACAACACACGGGCAACAACCAGGTCAGTTATTCTCCTGCTCCACCACATGACAGGCCTACGAAGCCATGGTGTAATCAACTGCTACCACACCAGAAAGAATACTGAATTATTTGACAGACTCTTACAGATACGCCAACCAAGCCACCTCAGAAGTGTAAGACGACAAATACAGAAAACCACGACACCGGGCTACAACCTGGCATAGGTGGGACGACAAAAAAAGTGCAAGACAAATATATAAAACCACGACACCGGGCTACAACCTGGCATATGTGAGACGACAAAAGAAGTGCAAGACAAATATATAAAACCACGACACCGGGCTACAACCTGGCATAGGTAAGATGACAAAAGAAAGAAGGAAAAAAAGGTACATTATGAAGACATGGATATAGAGACAAGAAGACCTGTTCTGAAATATGTAGACACACACACAAAAGCTGAAAAGAATGAAACATCCTCACCGTGGCTGTTTGTGATTTCCCTCGCCTTCCTCTTGCTGCCGGAACTGATGTGGGAGTGACGGTGATGATGGTGTAACTTAGAAGAGGGGCTGCTGGCGGTCGATGTGTTTGTGTTACTGTTGGATGGAGACATGGACCTCACCTGAGCATCTGTCTCAGCTGTGGATGGGTACAACACCTTGTACAAGAAATTCTTTTGTGAATGTTTTAAAATGATCCCCTTTTTTCACGAACATTTCAAAATGATCCAATTCTTTTATGTACCATTCAAAAGTCGGCTCTGTGGCTAAGTCGATGCGAACACTTCGCTTCGTAATGCCAGGTTCGATCCCAGCTGCGGGCAATGCGCCTTGCGTTGGTTTCGACAGTGGTATCAAGAATGCCGACCGTCCAGAGCAATGGCAAACTACTGGACGTAAATTTGCCTAGAGAAACCACACAACAGCCAGGGGCTGTTAGGGTTGGTTCTGCACCCATTCAAAATGATCCATCCATTTCTTTTAGGAAAATTTCAAAATGATACATTCATTTCTCTTAGGAACTTTCAAAATTATCCATCCACTTTTTTAAGGAACATTTCAAAACGATCCATTCATTTCTTTCTTGAACATTTCAAAATGACCTAAGTCTTTACCGAACACATTTAAAAAAAAATCTGCATCTTCTATAAACAGAAAAATTTGTCTCTTGTCTTGGCTGTACACTCTCTGAATGCTGTAAATCCATCTCTTGATGTTGTCTTCACACTTGTATCATTGACTACCTCTTGCTCTCTTGCCCTCGAACTTTCCCTTCAGTATGGTTTCTAAAGAATGTTATGTCTTTTTATGTGGCCAAATATTTCTACTGTCTCTTTTTTATTTATTTCGGTAAGTCTCTTTTCACTCAGTCTCTCCGGAACTTGTGTATCTGACAGTTTTTGATTTTTGTTCCAACAAAAAAAATTACCTATTCGTTTGTGTATCCACATTTCCAGACTCAGTTTGATTTCAGCGATGATCACAAAGAATTAAGAAAAATCTGGCCTTAAAGAAAACAGGTTGCTCACCTGTATAGAGCTCTCTTTCTTTATCTACTCTTGCCTTGGAGTAAGTTTTCGTCTTTACGCCTGGGATTTTCCGCAATGCCTGAATCATGAAAAACAAACTTTAATGTTTGAGCTGTTATTAAGCAATAAATCTGTCCATTTAAATCTGAAAAAGAATTCTTATATATTACATAAAACCAGTTTAAATATATAGCTGTGGATTCTGAACAATAAGTACGAGTATCCCAGTATGTATTCCTGACGAACAAAATAGATCCCCCTCCCCCAAATAACAAGTTATTGTCACGTAGCTAGTTAAATACCCTTCAGCTAATGGGTCTAGAATAGTATTTACCAAACTTTGTGTTTCATGCCTTTCTAAAATTCACATGTCCACATAAATAACTAAAGCTCTGGACGAGTCTATTTTTGAATTGCCCCCCCCCCCCCAACAATCAAATTGCCCCCCATTAACAATGGAACATGGGCCACAGGTTAAGAAACACTGATCTAGAGAAACCCTCACCCCACTATTTAAATGAGACATGCTAAAAGATGGTAGGACCCAGGGTAACAGTAGTTTCTGTAACCTTTGAAATGTCAAAGTGTTAGGCACTTACAGAACATATTCGTATGTGTTAGGACAGGCTGTGTGTGTTCAACCCTATAACACCTACTCCAAGTTATAACAAAGATTGACAGTCAGGTACATCATATTTTCTTGGGTGGGTGGGGGGAGGGCCTGGCTGTACAACCATCCAGTACCAGCATATATATGTCCCCGTCGGCAACCAGGTCACTCATTGGCTCACCAGTAGACGACTTCGTCAAAGTCGGGACAGTATTTGGGTCCGTCTCCTTTGATAGCAGCAAACACTGCAGGAGTCCTTTTAAGGGCTCTTGGTGGCGTGCAATCTTAAGTCATTTTATATGGCACGCATAACCTGGTCACAATTATAACTTCAGATATGCTGGTTGAACATAAGGAATTGTTTTCTTTCAAAGCCCCTATCTACCATGTGAATGTCATACAAGGCAACTTATTAGGGTTTTCTTGAAAGCAGAAATGTTGGGCAGAAAGGCACAGACACCGCAGCCTAGGTGTATACTCGAACACAGGGCTATTCAACTAACTTTCCTCAGGGGCTACAATTCTGAAAATGGTGCTCGTCATGTGCCAGAAGCCCGAGCTTAAGCATAGAAAGATCATTAATACACTAAATATGGCAATGATCTGTAGGCCATTTGCAAGCTCTCTACGGGCCAAGTTTGGCCCGCTGGCTGCCAGTTGAACAGCCCTACTCTAACACAATTTGCCAAACTCCCTTATAAGGTTGTATGCAGAAGAAGATCCAGGCCAGGCACTTGTGAGGTGGACTTTTTATTTTTAATCACGTTCACCGGTTGTAAACTCCAGCAAAAAGTTTTGGTTGTTTCTCCATCACTGGACTTCAGTCTTGTTCCAGAATCTGAGTGTTGCATACATGTCCGTTCAACAGATCTGACAATTGCATGCAGATTGTTGGTTCCTTGCCTCTCAGACAGGTGCACTAAAGAAAGCACCCAATTAGTCTACTCCTGCGACATGCTTGTTGGGGAGGAATTGGGTCTGTTCTTGTTTTCCTTACAAGGGCCCCAGAACCCACAGGCGTAGACTTTTTACTGAAAAGTTAGGAACTTTTGAAATTTCAATACAAAGGAGTTAATGGTAAAAATAAGATTTAAATATAAAAATCTGACATTTCAATACAATGATTCTCAGTAAAGATTTAATAAATGTTGACATCTTGACACATAGTGTCATGTCGATAAGCATATGAATTTTTGTTTCTTTTTTCTTTTCCAAACAATCACCAGAATCACAAGCCAGGACAGTGCTCTTGTCTTGCCCATCCAGATATTTTATCTCTTTACGTTCCCACTTCCTGCTTTTCTTGCCAAAGGTAACCAAGTTCTCGAGTCCATTCCTTCTGATGTGCAAAATACATGAGCCAGTAAGATGAAATGTTGAAAACATAAACAGAGGCTTACTCCAGGGTTCTCCTGAGCAGTTACTGGAACCCACTTGAGAATTGTTACAGACGTGTCCCCGACTGTGACCCATTTCTTCTCCCTGTACGAAAAAAAAACATTAAAAAAACCATGACTACAATCAATCTTAAAGTATGGGTATATGTGGTAATTAAAAACAATCTTCTTGTCTTTGTCACGTTCACCAGCTACAAACTCTGGCAGAATGTTCTGGGTGATCATCGACGTCCAGATTTTTAGTCTTGTTCCAGAACCTGATTGTTACATGCACATCCACTTCGCAGATCTGTCTTATTTGTATGCAGATTGTTGGTTCCTTGCTTCTCAGGCAGATGCACGCCGACTTCGAAGGAAGCCCCAAATTAGTTGACTCATATGACATTCTTATTGAAGAGGCAGTGGGTCTATTCTTGTTTTCCCAACTTCTAGGACATGCTTGTTGGGTCCGGGAACCCACATGGAGAGTTCAAACAATGATATCCTGTTCAACCCATCTGGATATATAGTTTTATTCTTCTATTTAAATACAGGATATTTGTACTTTTCGATTACGTTGGGTTACTTAATATTGCACAGATTATATATGAAGAGCGGCTGGCCAAATGGTTAAGAATGCTGGGTTCTCGTGCCAGAGATCCCCTCCTCCCCCTCGTCCATGTTTTCTTTGTGTTGGGGTCTTGCAAATATTAAGTATCCTCTCCCTGTCATGTGCAAGTCAAGTACTAAAGTACACCAATACTGAATAATGCAGATAAGACATCAGAAGTCATTACGTATCGTTGTTAGGAGATTGAGCTCCATGCAGTCCAGCCAAGAAGTCAAAGAAGGTGGACATGTATGTCTGAGTGTGGTGGATTCCCAGTGCAGGATTTTACCCCGTGATCCCATAGTGAAGATCAGCTTATATGCTGCGACGTAAAGCGTCATATCTACCTCAACCGTAGTACTCAACAGACTACATGAGAACTGGAATCAACATTTCTGCTGAATTTTTGGAAGAGACGACCTACTCTGGTCATCAGTATTTTAGCAGCAAGATGAAACTGTCGCAAAAACCTTTACTGTTTGCTGTTTGTTAAAAACCATTACTATTGCAGACCTTCGCACTGCTCCCTGCAAAAATCACCCCTTACTGTTTTCTAGACTGCTGCTGGATTGAGATAGTTGGGTTGTTTGAATCACGTTAGTTTGTTGATATTCAAATCGATCGCATACATGCCTTAGCATGGAACACCCCACTCATCAGTGGCGGCCATCACCTTTCAAAATACAATCATACTACCCCCACAAACATCAGAACGTCCTCGACATTGAGAAAACATGATGATAGTATAACCAGAAGATTCCTGCAGTGGAACCCACAGGGCCAAAGGAATAAAGGCCCAACAAAAATATCAAATGTAAAAGGGAAAGAGAGTGAAGAGAATAAGATGGAGAGGACATGAAATTGTTGAGGGCCTATGCTCCACTCGGGGATAAAAAGGGAAGAAAAAGATCAAGAAGATAATTCAAACAATATGATTTTCAGATGTATTTAAAAAAAGGCACTTAAAATATATTAACAATCCATACTAATATGAATGTTTACAATTAATATATAATCTTGCAATATATTATGAAAAGGAGACAAAGTTTTTTGGTCATGTGATAAGATAAGGAGACTGGAAAATATTGTGATGACTGGAAAGATCATTGGTAGAAGAGGCAGAGGCAGACCAAGAGAAATGATGGTGGATGGCTTAAGACAGTGACATGGAGGAATATCATCAGTGGAACTGATCCAGAACACCAAAGACTGACATCCGTGGAGATGCATGAACACCTATCCTATGCCAGCTGACAAGGCACTTGATGATGATGATGCAATATTAAATAACCAAAAGTACTATATTTACCCAGAAGAATAAGAGCAGACAAAAATTATTGGTCGCCATAATAAGTGGCCGTTATTCGGAGGATAGCCGACTTTGGCTATCCTACGAATAACGGTCCTAAATTACATACGGAGAAAAAACCCTAACAGAGCCTCAGTCGTATCTAAAATTTGCATTTCGTTTGCGGCGAATCAACCACGCCAAAAGTAGTATTAATTGCGCACAAAATTTTTGCGAAACGCAACGGATGTTTTTACGACGATTAAACGGCGGCAAAACTAGGAATAACTAAGGATGAAAAATTAGCAAAACGCAAGAATACACCCGATAGGGCTATCCTACGGCAGGGCCTCAGTTATATGTGAGTTGCAGACCACTTTCCGGTGACTATAGCGCCACCTCCGAGAGTATCCCATGCGCCGCTACGCAGGGCGCGGAAGAGGCTAAACTAGACTCACAAGCAGCAGCTACCGCTTCTCCTGCAGCTTCCTCCATTGTATTTGCTCGTGAGTCCTAGCCATCTAGTTTAGCCCATTCCGCGCCGCGCGTAGCGGCCCAGGGGATACTTTCGGAGGTGGCACTATAGTCGCCGGAAAAAAGTATTAAATTTACATGAGCTACTTCTTCCGACACAACTACCAGCGTGGTCGGGCTAGTGGAGCGCCATATTGGCCGCTGCTGGTTGAAAGTTGTCCCGAGGCGAGATGCGTGTACATTGTTGCCCGGGACAAGAATTGTGACTGTCGCTTGGCGAGTCTACAGCAATGTTTGGAAATTAAAACATGGCATTTACGATCACCCTATATTTGGCTGAGTTGCAATCACGGCACAGCCAGAAAGAACACATTTTCGGGCACTATTTGCAACTTCTGTGCCACAATTTTCACATATAAATGATTTAATTATCGGTGAGTAGTAGACTTCCCCTTTTCCTCATACTTTTCAATCCTTATATTTTCCGAGTTACAACTTTTAAATCTTTGTAGGGCATGACGTAATGAGGCTCTGTTAGGGTTCATTTTCTGCATAGATAATTTAGTACTGCTATTCGGAGGATAGCCCCGACTTTACTTAATCCGGGTAGATTTTGTTAGTGACACTCACCATCGCCATTGGCTGCGAGTCCCATGTCTCCTCATAGAACAACACAATAACTCTATCGTCTGGAAAGACGGAAAGGTGCCAACGCGAGTATCTCCCTAATGATGTCAATCAGAAAATGTGAGTCCATGAAGGACCTTGGAACTTAGGCATCTTGAGTGCTGCGCTGAGATTCTTCGGACTCACTTGAGTTAGAAGTAGAAGGGACCATTTATGGGTTACTACCCCTGTGCCATGATCTTGATCTGTTGTTTAAATTTTGAGGAAATGTTTTAGAGGGTAAAGTCCAACACCCCCCCCCCCCTAAAAAAACTGCCCCCTGGGGGTGGGGGGTTAGAGAGGGGAGGGTCATAGTCTTAGTATGGGCCCCTAGTGTCTGTCTACATCTTAAAACCAAATGCAGTGATTTAAAAAAAAGACCCTGCGGTTACTACTACTACTAAAGATGGTTACAAAAGGAAGATTATCAAAACAGGTTAAAATAACCGACTACGGCAGATGAAGAGGATTTAGAGCTAGGCACATTTACTAATTCTATTCTGCAACATCAATTGGTTGCTACGGTTACACACCACGCTCCCATGGCAACGTTGCGGCCTTAATAAATAATTCCCTACGAGACCAAACTCTTGTGTTCCAACTACTGCCGGCTGTAGTATGCACTGCCAACCACAAAGAGACTGAGAACATTATACACAAGACCACAAAGATAATGTGGTTCAGTTTCCTGTATTTTTAACAGTAACACGATAGCAACTACTATCCCTAACGTAAACAAAAATACGTGCAGAAACACCGTCTGCTAATATAGTAACTTTACAACGACTCTTGATCGGGAGTACAATAAGAAACACGGACTAACCAACTTATCTAGGGAGGTAAAGAAACGCAAACGAACACAAAACAGGCCCTAGATTCAGACAAAGAAACATACATTGCCCTTACCATTTCCTCACTTTATCGATCGCGTTGATGACTCGTTTGATGTCCTCTTTTGCCCGACTGCGGGTTTCCGCCCGGCCTGATCGTGACAGCATGTGAAAAACTAGCTTTTGTAATCAGAATAAAACGTACACACAGACCCTTGGGGTGGTGGTGCCTTTAACAGCTCAGTCGTCGACAAATCTAGGCGGGTAAAAATAGATTTGTGTAGGAGCTGGGATTAGGGGAGAGAGAAGGCCTGCTCGGGTTAACGGTCGCCGCCGTCTGACTGCTGCTGGGTCATGTGACTGCTTCACGTCTGCTGAAGCGGGCGAGCCGAGATGGAGGCGCGGGCTTGGAGGAAACGAGTGGCGGGGCGGGGCTGCCGAAATTTGTTTGGGAATAGTACTTTTTATTTTTTTATTTTAGAGACACCAAAAGGTACACAATTTTAGGCTCTACTTCGAAAGGCATCACAAAATGGCCGCCATTTTATGATGCCGTTTGAAGTAGAGCTCAATTTTAAATTCTTATTTTTATGCCTTAAATTTTAAAAAATCATACATGGCCGCCATTTTATGATGCCGTTCGAAGTAGAGCCCAATTTTAAATTCTTAATTAAAAAAAAAAAACACACACACACAGTTAAAACGTATTTAGAATAAACACACACGTAGGCGGGTCTTGCTAGTCACACTCGCCTCTGCCATGGGCTGTGAGCAGTGGCATTGCAAAATTAGGTGGTACCTGGTGCGGAATTTATTTACACACACTCATACATTTTTAATATTAAAAACGGTTCTCCTAACGCTAGTCTATGTTACAGGGGTGTCACATAGTGTTGTATTCGTTGCTCTCACCTAGGATATCGAGTGTTCTATATTACACGATGTGACCGCTTTTAAAGACCCCAGAAGATCTAGACCTGGCCCTAGCCCCAACCACGACCCCCAGCTGACCCTGACGTACCGGGTCAGCTTCATGCCTACATTTCTCCATGAGGAGCCTGGGGTGTCCTACGTATGCCAGGGCTGCCGCGTAATAAAGAAAAGTCGGCTAAAAATGTGAAATAATGAAGAAGGCATGTAGGCCCCAAAAATTGTTGCCTTGTGTCGCGTCTTGTTTGAACGGCTACCGATGTTACGTGCTGTTTCAGAAAAGCTGGAACGCTGCTGCTCCTTTCAATGCAACCGATCGTCAAGCAATGGCAAACTGACAACTGAAGTAAACTCATCTACTTGAAGTCCGATACGATAGCAAGACTTATATATTTTTTAAACTGACTAATCGGAATTAGGTGGACGTTATGGATAGCCACCACCTGCTGCCTTTACTTTCCAGGACTTTACCTCGATACCCATTTTAGACAGTTTCTTCTTCTTTGCGTTCACCGTCTGTAATCTCCGGCGGGAAGTTCAAGTTGTTCGTCCACTTCTAGACCTTAGTCTTGTTCCAGAACCTGAATGCCACTTGCGCATCCTTTTTACAGAACTGGCTTACTCGTATGCAGACTATTGGTTCCTTGCCTCTCAGGCAGATGCACTCTGACTTTGAAGAAGCCCACAGTTAGTGGACTCTTACGACATGCTTGTGTGTTATCATAGTCGACGTCATTGCACATAATACACTCCCATGTTGCCGCTGTCAACACCATTTCCGCCAGTTTGAACACGTCAACATTCAGTCAGCCAAAAAAGTTCAGTCCGCCAGTGAGCATTCATTTTGCCACTCCCCAACGCTGAGTTAGCACTCACAGTATTTAGTTAGTCACCTCCCAATGTTCCTTTAGTCCCATGTTCAGTCAGCCGCACCCAACACTGAGTCTGCCAGGGTCAGCATTTAGTTAACAACGCCCAGTATTCAATTAGTCACGCCCAATATTTAGTTTGCCACTCCCAACATTCAGTAAGTCGCTTCAAGTGTTCCAGTTAGCCGCACCCCAACGTTCAGTTAGCTGCTCCCAATGTTCAGTTGCTCCCAATGTTCAGTTAGCCACGCCCTCTAGGCCCAATATTCCGTTTGCCACTCCCGTCATTCAGTTTGCCACTTCCGGCACTGAGTTTACCGAGTGTCAAATCCAGTTAAAATCCTATCTAGTCTGTTATTGATTGAGCCGGTCCCAGATTCAAGCCAGTAGTAACAGAAACTGGGCGATAGTTAACATTCTAACCGCAAACTTTATTACATTGCAAACAAAAAAAATCCACGCCCAGTTTTACTATTGTTTTCATGCAAAGAGAAATTTGCTAAAACGTGCGGTTTTTCCCACACGTGGTTCCGAAAATTTGTGACCCCTGAGAATTTCGATAATCCCTGAGAAATTTAGCTTCTCTTCATGGGTGACAAAACAACGTGACAAAGCTCAGACATTCCGTTCAACATGTAAGGAGATTACCACCCGTAACGATTGCTAGCCTGTGTGGGTACGAGGTAAACTGAGCTTCTGAACATAGTTTTAATTTGCATTTATCTTAATCTTCTTCTTTCCGTTCCCCCTGCCAGTTGTTTTTGGATAAGAAGACCACATACATCTATGAACATCACAACAACGAGCAAAACACATCGTGTACCTGGCCGCTCATACGACGCGCAATATAGTCATCGAACACAACACAACATGACACCACTGTAACATAGACTAGTGCGTGTGAGAGTTCAGCTAGCATTACGGTCAATCACGATTTGTTTGGAACAAAAAACATTGGAACAAAAAAAAAAAAAAAGTTCGTAGAAAACATATTTTTTGCCATTTCGTCGCCCCGCTCTCTTCTTTTACCCCATTCAGTGGTGGGACCCGGAGCGGCTCGCCCCCATGCGTCCATCTTGCTATACCTCTGGCTGTGAGTCCGATGCCTCTTCACAGCCCAATATAAAAATATTGTCTTAAAGAAAAAAGTCGACGAAGAACAACTTAAATAAAAAGTTGTTTGTTTTGGCTTTGGCTAAAACGCGGGCTTATAATTCGGCAAGATTGTTACTAGTTGTGAAATACCAACTTTGGCTGCGGCAGGCGTCAGGGTTGGCAGAAGGCAGATTTCACTTGTATTTGAAATTTCGTCAATATAAACTGTAGATAGCTGACCGTTTAGAAAGCATATGGCAAACTATGGTTCCTCATAGACGCTAGTAAAATCATAAGCATCCACAGTTAACTGCTTTATTTCAGTTTTAGTGTCTGTAAGGCACACAAATAGGAAGTTCTGTGACATAGGTTGCCTTTCACATGGTTTATATTAATTAGTAAACTAAAGACTTTAAAAACTAACTATAATTTAGTGACATTAATAAAGTCACTTTTGCCTGATAGGCAGCAGGTAGTCTCCATCAGTAACCGTTATTCAAAACCCACACAGTTAAATATAGGCGTTCCTCGGGGTTCAATATCGGGTCCACTACAGTTTGCTACTTATATTAACGACCTTCCGTTACATCTCAGTATAACATGTGATCTGTTCGCTGATGACTGTACAATATATACTAGTCAGGACAATTGTAATGAATTAGAACGTTCTTTGCAGAAAGAAATAAATAAGCTTATTAAATGGAGCAATGATAATCGCATGCAAATTAACATTAGTAAAACTAAATCCATGGTGATAACAACTAGTCAAAAGCTACAAACATTAGCTTTGCACAAGCCACCGCTTGAGCTCTTCATTGACAAGCTACCTATTGTTAATGTCTTCCTTCCTTCCTCTGCCTTTCCATCCCCCAATGGAGCATAGGCCCTCAACCAACTCACGCCAAGTCGTTCTATCCTTCGCCATTGCATGGAGCTCTCCCCATGTCCTCCCCATCTTTCTAACCTCATTCTCCAGCTCTCTTCTCCATGTGTTTTTTGTTTTTGTTTTGGCCTTCCTTTATTCCGATGCCCCCGTGGGTTCCAATGCAAAGACATTCTAGTTATGCTGTTCTCCTGTTTTCCCAGTGTGTGCCCTATCCAACGCCAGCGTCTTTCCCTCACCTCCTGATCCACTGGAGCCTGTTTAGTTCTCTCCCAAAGTTCTACATTAGTTATTCTATCATACCATTTTATTCCCTCTATTCTGCGCAGGCACCAGTTAACGAATGTCTGTAATTTATTAGTAATTACCTTCGTTGTTCTCCGTGTTTCCGCCCCATACAATAGTACTGATTTGACATTAGAATATTGTTAATGTAGTTGAACACAAAACATTAGGTGTTTTAATTGACAGCCATCTTACCTGGAGTTCCCATGTTCATACCATGAAAAAAAGTAGCACAAAAAGTATATCAACTTGGAAAAATTCAGCACTTTCTGGACGAAAATAAACGTAAAATATTTTACGTATCCTACATTCAAACGCATATTGACTATTATTTGGGATGGCTGCTCCAAATCTAACATCAAACGGCTGAGTTCTCTACAAAATAGGGCCTTACGCCTAATTTTTGATAGAAACTACGTCGAGAAAAATCTTGTATACGGACATCTAAGACTTCTACCATTTAGTAAACGTTTAATTTTTAATAAGGCCAAATTCATTCACAAAATCATATCTAAAGATACTCCAAATTACATCAACCGATTGATTCAATTTAGCCATAAGAATAGCAAGCGACTAAGTTTATTAGATTTGCCTAAACCCAGAATTGATTTATTTAAAACAAGTTTAGCATATTCTGCTTCCCATTTATGGAACCATCTTCCACTCGATCTGAAAACTACAAAGAGTCCCTACTCATTTAACCGCAAACTCTTTCATTTCACGATTACCAGTGATTATATGCCACCTTAAATGTAGTTAATAATCCACAATGCATTACTAGTTTTTAATTAATTACAGTGTGTATGATATGTATGTATGCGTATATGTGTTACATGCATGCGTGTGTATGCGTGTTTGTGTATGTATGATTTTGTGTATGTATGAGTGTATATATGGTAACTGTAAAAGTTTGTTTGTATGTCTTGTGGGTCTGTGTGTGTTTAAGTGTATGTCTCTGTGTGTGGGCGTGTGTCTGTGTTCGTTCGTCTATATGAGCGTTTTTATGTGCATATGTATGTGTGTCTGTAAGCGTGTCTGTGTTGTGTATCTGTATGTGTGTTTCTGTGGGTGTGTGTCTTTGTGTATGTTTGTATGTGTATATGTGT